AAAAAAAAAAAAAAAAAAAAAAAAAAAAAAAAAAAAAAAAAAAAAAAAAAAAAAAAAAAAAACTAATGCCTTAGCCTTGCTTGTAAGTAGAGGAAATGGTTGATTGAACTTGTGGTTTGCGATAAACGATTATATTTATATTGTTCTTGCATCTTCAATTCTAGGACTTCTTTGTAGCTGATGGAGAAGGTCTTCCCCGTACTCTTGTTGAGAAGGAAGCAAAATTTGCTGAAGAAATATTGGGCTTATATTCACTTCCGGTTTGTTTATCTTGTTGATCAAGTTTATATTATAAGTCCTTATTATAGAATTTTTCATATGGACCGCGTTTTCTAATTGGTGCACTTTTCTGCAGACTGAAACTATTATTCAACTGCTGATGAGCTCAGGTGGGGATATTTCTACGGAATTGGATCCGTGTAGTAATAATGGCAGTCTTCATTTTAACGATTCCCAGGCATTGGTACGAGTCTTATGCCACAAAAAAGATACGGAAGCTTCCACGTTTCTAAAGCGAAAATATAATCTCCCTGCTTCTTCAGGTAATTCTCTATCCATTATTGATTTCATAGCCTTTGGCACGCTGTTTCCTCCTCCACAATTGTTGAGAAAGAATGAAAGATAAAAAGGATATTGGAGAACTGATAACCAAAAATCTTGTTGCCCTTCATCTAGAACCAGTTACAACTATTTTCGAGTTGAATAGTTGAACAAGCTATCTTCCACCACCAAGGTTTCAAAACGTTATGCATTTTTTTTTTTATTAAAATATGATCCGATTTAGTCAATTGAGTTTTAGATTATGACCTCTTAAAATTTGAGTTCTGACCTCTTAAAGTTAACTATGCTTAAGCTATTTTTGAAATTGAATGCCTCCCAAAGTTGAAATAATCTATTGTATTTAAACTTTGTGAGGTCGTAACTATTAATTAACTAAATTGAGTGATATTTTCTTTATCCTGTGTAATCAATTTCTACATGTTGGAAGGTAGCTTGTTTGACCCTTTCACCCAAAATTGGTTGTAATTGATTGTAGATGAATGACTGTAGAGGGACATATTGTGATGAGGGAGGATAGAGAATAAAATGAACTTACAGGACAGGAAAAGTAAAATTAGGCAAGCCTTGATAAATTTTTTGGATTTAGGTCATTTCCAGCAATTATCCAGTTCAATAAATTAATTAGAAAATATGCCCTAAAAGTTTCTTGAAATTCTTGCAGATTATGATATGACCCCCTTGCAGGCCTCAACTCAGAGATGACATGACTTGTGACAAATTCAAAGTGTGATTCATAATTGATAGAAAATAGAAGGATTTAGCAATTTCCAACGATGACTTTGCACGGTGGCTAGAAAGAAAGAGTAGGAAGGGAAAATTGAGTTTGGTCCCATGTGGCTAGATTTTACTTGCCGAAGGCGAGTCTTATGGGTGATCCAATCAAGAGTGGAGTTTTGCCTATAAATGTACATAATATATTTCATTTTATAATAAAACGAAAATTGCATTTGTGTTTGATTATACTTAAAATGATCATTTTGAAGTATGGTGAAATGAATTTTTATTATATAAGTTTCTCAGATCCATTAACTCAATTCACTACATCATTCTTTCTATTAAATTAAATTGAAACTAAATAATGAAAAGATATAACCGATAGATAATTAAATAGCCTAAATTGGTTAAATTAATTGATATTTTTATACAAATTAGATTAATTGTATCAGTTTTGAGATCAGAATTGTGATAGGTCTAGTAATATATCCATTCTAACCAGTTTTTCATTTTCTAGGACATATACTTCGAAATTATGTATATACAAACCTAATTAGATCGAGTTTGAGATAAGTTTTGGGAACACTACTTCAAAATAATAAAGCACTTTCTTAACCAAAATTTTTTACTACCTAACCAAACGTACAAATTTCAAAAAACTGCTTTCAATCAAACACAACCAAACTTCCCATTGTTCTCCTACCTAGCTTTTCTCTTTATCCACGAGCTTTCCCTCAATAAAATCACAGCCTAAAATGGGTACACCAAGTTGCTTCTCCAGTTTTTTCACCACAAACACTTCTGGCTCCTCGCAAATACTCACCACCGTCCCCATCCGACCAAGCCGACCTGTCCGACCCGCTCGGTGTGCGTAGTGAATCGAGTCTGTGGGCAAATCCAGATTAACCACAAGGTCACATTCAGCAATATCCAATCCCCTAGCAGATAATTCGTTGGTCACTAGAACTCTTATTTCACCATTCTTGAAACTTTTCAAAGTAGTCGATCTTCCAAGTTTTCCGAGATCCCCATGTAGCTCTGCCGCATTCATTCCACGAGCCTTTAGCTTGAAGACGACGTCCCTTAGTTGCTTTGTATGGTTCATGAAAACCATCACGAATTTGGCATCGAGTGCATGAACACAACGTCTTAACATATCGACCTTGTGCTGCAACCTCGAAGTACAATAGTAGTGTTTTAAAGATGGAGGTAGAGTATCAATGGCGGTCTGATTCTGCAAAGTTGTGTTCGAAGTCGGCCCAGAGGAAGGCCCTCTCGGATTTACAGGTCCCATGAGAGGAACCGAGTCAAGAGGGGCAACCTTGTTGGCCTTGACAAGAAGAGGGTCACACCCCCAGCTTTTAGCTGCTCTTACTACTGAGAATGGCACTGTTGCAGATACCATGACTAATTGACGCTCCACCCTTCTTGCTTGAGCATTTTCTGATCCTTGTGAGTTTGCACCTGATCTTCTTCCAACATGTTCCAATATGCGATGCATGTCTTCCCGAAAATTAAATGAAAGTAGTTCATCGACCTCGTCTAAGATCAAGAAGCTACAACCATGGGTGTGCAGCCTTCCTGATGCACTGATTTCAGCAATTCTTCCTGGTGTCCCAACAACAATGGCAGGTTTGTTTTTCTTTAAAGCCTCCTCCTGTCTTGTTCGGTTTGCACCTCCGACAAGCTGCTGAACTACTTTCCGGTTTGCGGGTCCTAATATCTTCTCAAACTCCCTCACAATTTGCATTCCCAGCTCCCTTGATGGAGCTACAATAACAGCCTCTATCTCCTTTTTCTTTCCAGGTTCATCATTGTAATTGGAAGCTGTTTTCTTAAACGGGCCTATTTCTGAAAGGATGGGAAGAATATATGCCAATGTTTTTCCAGAACCCGTGTAGGATTGAATGACGACATCATGGTTTTTCAAAATGGTCGGAATCGATGCAGATTGAATGTCAGTAGGAACTGTGAAGCCTTCAATTTCTAACCTCTCTATCAACAAAGCTGGAAGACCAAGCTCAGAAAATGACTTGGCAGAAAATGGAGCCATCTCTGCTTCTACCATTTTTCTCACTCCAACCACCTTTTTTTCATTGTTTCGAACCATCTTCACTCTACTTTTCGGGACGTCCCGTGGAGAATCTAACTCGGTAACCTTATTCACTTTGCTCTTGTCTGTATTTTGAAACTCACTTTTGAACCCAAGGCTTGCTAGAGTAAGGGGTCCTTGGTTCAGCTCAGCCTTACTAAGACTAAACACACCACTGTGAAACCATGTCGATCGATAAACGCGAGGTAACTTTTGGAAGCAAAACGACTCTCCAGCAAACACAAATAACCTGCTTGGTATTAAAGCATTCATGTTTTCCACAGTTCTCCCTAGAAATGATTACATAAGCTGTGTAGAAAATAGCACAACTCTGATAACCCAGCAAGGACAATTGCTACAAAAATTCTCTGAACAAGAACGAATTCCAATTCAAGTAGATGATATCAAATACATTCTGAAACAAGCAAAACGAAAAAAATCAGTCAAGATAACAATGATGATACATCAAATTAACATTCAACTTTTATAAACAATTAAGAATCATTCCATCCAGCTTCCTGTCAGGCAGATTAACCTTTAAATTAACATGTAGAATGCGCTGAATCTGCACACACCATCAACAAATACTGAAGATTTTTGTAAAACAGGCGACAGTAATTTTAATTAATGATAAAGAGAACCCGAAAACAAGTTGGCATTTTATCAAACATGTGGTGGACAAAGCAGTGTGAAGCTATCAACAAGCTCGCAACATAGCTGAATTAATACAGATGCAAGAACTTCTTTCTATTAAAAAAACAACCGAAAATGCGACATTGAACTACAAACATTCCTGAACCACAACCCTTCTTTTCTTTTCCCAAGTACAAGCTCAAGTCAATTTTGATGCGGAAAAACGTAAGATATGGCAAATAATTGGAGCATGGAGGAGAATCCTTGAAACTTAAAGCAACAACAGCTAAAGAAAAAGCATGGAAGAGAAATTAAGTGTGAAAAAAAGATGAAAAATAGAACGGACGAAGAAGAAACTCCACTTACACTACACTCCAGAGAAATAATTCGACGGAAGAAGAAGAAGAAGAAGAAGGAGAAGATCCACTCCGGCTATGGTAATGGAAAACGAGTCTCCGGCGACGGCGCCCTCAGAACGGCGGCATGGAAGCGGATTTGGGGAAAAGGAAAATTAGGAGGAGGAAGGGTGGAGACTGTAGTAGTGCTATCCAAAAGAAAAATTAGATTTTCAAAAGCAAATAAAAAATAATTATTATTACTCAAAATTTCGCAAATGACTCTTAAACCCCTCAACTATGTTTCTACAATACACCCTTAAAATTTTAATTTAATAAATAAATCTATTTAATTTAATATTACAATTACGCCCCTAAATTTTTTATTTTTTCAATTTATCTTCAATAATTTATTGAATATTGCAGCCAACCTCTCGTATTTTATTAATATTACAATCAACCCCTTGTATTTTTTTTTTTTTTTTTTTTTTTTTGGATCTTCCAATAATAAATTTGTTTTTCGGTCACATTGGAGTAGTCATTTCGAGTTTAGTTCAGAAATTAATTTTCATCGAACCTTATACATGCGATTCTAATACTCCTCCGTGTAAGATTCCTCTCGATTTGAGAATGATAATCCTCGAAGTATCTTGATGATTACCATAAGACCTTGTAGAGATTATTCTAGTAGTTCTCGGTGTAAGATTCTCTTAGATTTAGAAATGATAATCCTCGAATTATCCTAAGAATTGTCATCAGACTTCATGGAGATGATTGTAGTAGTCCTGTGTGTAAGATTCTTTTAGATTTTGGAACGATAATCCTCACATTATCTTGAGAATTACCATCAAACCTCGTGGAGATGATTCTAGTTTCTCGTGTAAGATTCTCTTAGATATGGGAATAATAATCCTCGAATTATCTTGAGGATTACCATCCGACCTCGTGGAGATGATTCTAGTAGTCCTCGGTGTAAGATTCTCTTAGATTTTGGAATGAGTGCGTCATATGCTAGGAGCCCAAACTATGTGATTGAATAAATCCTCCTCTATCTGTTGCAGGTTGAGGACTCCTTCTCCTTCCCCTTCTTCAAACTCTGATTCATATTGTTCATAGATAAATCTCTAAGCAACGATAGAACAAAGAACAAGATCTATTTTGTATCATATCTAAGGGATTCCTAGGTTCGGGCTAAAGAAGTAATGTCACTCGATCATTATCAAATCGACTGGAATCTTTTTCTGTTTGTGAGGATCTCAATCCTAACAGAGTGCCTTCTACTTCTAATAGGTCATGAACTAAATCCGAATCATTCTCAACGAGTCCATAAGAAGTGATCCCATTTTTTTCATTCGATCCGGATAGAGACCAAAGGTCTTGAGCGACCGATCTGGCAAAACAACTCAAAAGATAAAGAAGTATCGTTAATTTCTTCATGCTCGTTTCAATTTCAAAGTACCATTTGTACAAATAAGAACTCCCTGATAATCCTCGAATTATCCTGACGATTACCATCAGACCTCATGGAGATGATTCTAGTAGTCCTCAATGTAAGATTCTCTTAGATTTTTGAACGATAATCCTCGAATTATCCTAAGGATTGTCGTCAGACCTAATGGAGATGATTCTAGTATTCCTCCGTGTAAGATTCTCCCCTAGATTTGGAAACAAAGTTCCTCAAATTATCTCGAAAATTGCCATCAAACCTCATGGGAATGATTCAACTATTCCTCGGTATCTAAAAGTAACCTTGATTTCACATATAAACCACTATCAAAATGTTCATTACAAAAATTAAATGGTATAAAATAGAAGGTAAGGTTTTACGTACACATTCCTCTTTACTATTACAATCATAAAAAAGTCCAAAATTAATCGAGTAACATTCTAAGGACAATCTAACTCTTATAAACAAGTTAAAGTAACTATAATGTCCAAATTATAAAGGAGACTGAAAGACGTTGAAAACAGATGTAGAGCGGAACGTCATTTTCATAAATTCTTTTCTTGAATGACTTTTAAAACATTAACAAAAACCATCACAACTAGAAGAAAAGCTTTGTGTATTCATCAGCTTCTTGTGCCATCTCCTCAAATCCTCTATCCATCCTCTTCTCATCCAAATCAATATGTTTCTTTAATGCTCTATCATTCTCATCCATCTACGAACGAACGAACGAAAAAAAAAAGTATAATATTCAATTTCGTCTAACATAAATCGTGCTACAAAACACAACACGACACACCTTCCTCGACAAAAAATGTGTCATTCGAAAATATCTCGAGTGTAGTAGAGACTGAATAACTTCAATGTAAAATTACAAGAATGATTCTTACTGCATCGTAGATATCATCATTTCTCGCAAAGTCACTGAACTTTCGTGGGACAATATGAATGTGAACGTGTGGAACACTTTGTCCTGCTTCGGGGCCATCCTGACATTGATATACACATCGAGCTAAGCGGTAAACATGTGGCTAAATGTTAGTAGAAGTCTAAAAGTATGAGTTATTTCTTACTTGGATGTTCAAGGTGAGGGAGGAAGCATTATGATAGGACTCCAATTTGCCACTAACTAGTTGGGTTGTGAGCCATAGGTCGCATATCTCATCAGCATTCAGATCCCCAAAGCGCTTAACCTCCCGCTTTGGGATCACTAACACATGTATTATTGTCAAAGCCAAAACCACATTCCATTTCTTTAGATGTGTTCTTATATCAAAATAACGAGCTACTTTGTCGGGTTGACATGTCTTTAGTTTAAGAGTCGATTCGAACTCAGCAATCCCATTAACAAAAAGAATTTTTGAACTATATTCATGATACGTCAACAAAATCGATCTTTTTATTAGGTCAACTAATAGTCAACTAAATATCGAAACTATTTAGAATTAATCGTTGCTTTTAAAATTTCAAGGGACTGAAAATTCTAGAAAATTATGTCAAACTTACCCTTTTAACTTTTTTTTTTTTTTTTTTTGAAGTGGTTAAAATAACGTTCAAAAAATTCATTTCAAATTCACTACAAATAGCCTGGGAAGAAGGATATGACCTGAAAAGAAACAAGATTTGATAGTTTAGAACATCCACGAACATGAGCGATTAATTACGATATTCATACAAATATAAGCATACCAGGAAGAACTGGACGAAGGTTGACCATTGCATATGAAAGATTAGTGGTATAGAATATGAACTTTGGATGTATTTTGTGAGGCCCGAATGTGTAGTATTCTGAATCTGATGTCATCCCTTTTGACATCTTTTATCTTTTCGGGTTCTATTGTAGTCTCTATACTCTACACAAAAACGTCATCGTAATTCATGTTTGATAAATTTACAGATCAAACTAAAAAAATCACATAAAAATTACACATGAAATTGAAATTTATTCAAATCCCCAATGGATTGAATTGGATCATCATCAAATTTCCCCAACATAATTGCCTGAAAAATATAGCAATAAAGAATGAAATAATTACCTTGTTGGCTGCACAAAAAATGGAGAGCAGAGCAAAACGAAGAAGATGATAGTTGTGAACAGGGAAAAAGTCTAATTGGGAGTGGAAATTATTCATTAAAGTATGCAAAGCTTTTTCCTTTGGGATTAAATTTGTAATATAAAAAAACCCATTGGATGAGCTAAGTGGTTTCGATGTCTATGGGTCGGGTTTTTTTAATATACGTTGGTTCTCTCTGCGTGGATGTGTTTGGACTAACTTGTCTGCTTCTCGATTAATTTTATAGAACAATGATTTGATTATGTAACGTTTGGTTGTAAAAATATGTTCTTTAAGATTTTAAATCTATCCAACGATAATTATATATCCATATTTTAGTAATATTTTGAAAAATATGTTCTACCTAATTCTAATAACACTTCAAAACGAAATTGGTATTATTTTTTATTTTTTATAAAAAATGGATGTGTTTTTTAGAGTTGAATTGTCAACATTTCCCTAAAGGACAATATTATTTAAATCTATAGCCATCAATAATGCAAAGATATTTAATTAAACGTTTGTTCATGATTAAGACGTTGATGGCCCTTGAGGTGTTAAAAAAAAATCGATAACCCAAAAAATTTGATCAACTTAATTCATATGGTTTAGGGTTGGATTATAAATTTATTTGGATTGAATTCAAATAAATGAAAAAATTATGAATTTCTTGGGTGGAACGAAATCAATTTAAAAAATAATAATTTTATTACCATACAATTATATATAGGTATATTTAATTTCATAATATATATTTTTTTAATTTTTTATTCTCCCTTTATAAGAAACTTCCACGACAAGGACAATTAAGAAAGACTAATTGGCTTAACAGTCGTGGGTGTGATGTCACCAGAACCTCTAAGGCCTTCTAGAGTGTTTCTATTACATGTAGAAACAGGTCAAGGCTAACGCCACAACTTCGTAAATTAGTCTTGAGAAGGGACTTGAGACTACACAAGTCGTTAGCTCTTCTATTGCATGTAGAAATGAGTCAAGGTTGGGGCCGCGATTTCATACACCTGTTTTGGAGATAGACTTGGGACTATACAAGTAGTTACCTCAAAGTGAGTATTTTTATTACTAGTAGAAATAGGTCAAGTTGACACCTGAAATTAGTAGATTGGTCCTAAAATGGGACTTGAGATTATACATATTGTTGACTCATGAAAGTTGTCCCTAGTGAATATGGTAATGGCCTCGGGCCCCGATAAGTATTGGAATAAGCCCGAACTTTCGAGAGCCTAGAAAATAAGTTCGTGATAACTTATTAGGGTAAAAATGCGATGAGAGCCTAAAGTAGTTTGCTTACTGAATATTTTTGGACTCACCCCTTTCCCCATTTTTTTTTCATGTGTTCATTGGCAACCGATCAAGGTGGAGGAGCGTTCGAGACTTGTGCGGTCTAGTGGTGTACGTGGGTCGAGTCGGATTGGATTGAAGGAATTTTTTAGACCTACCGAAAAGTTCGAGTTTGTTAGATTGGTAACCCAACCCAACCCAAAAGTTTCGAGTAGGGTTCGGGTTGTTTAAAAAATATATTTTATTTTCACCTCTTTCAAGTGCTGAGACAACCGACTATCGAGTGCTAATGACCACGAACTCAACCTAGTGTTGAAGACCACGGACCCTGCGAGACAAGACTCAACTGAGTGCAGAAGACGACGTCGACGTCGACGAAATTGAGACAACGGACTACCAAGTGATTGTTCATAGGTGAATGTTTTCCTTTAAAAATTATTTGTGCAGCTTTAGGGAAACATATTGAGTCATTCTTGTAAAGAACCCGAGAGAGATAGTCATTGAAAGATCGAGTTCCATTCGAGCCCCAAGAAGGTAATGTTTCAAGAAAACTAGGTGACTTTTGTTGGGATTTATGCCCTAAAGCCTTGTAATTAATTATTTAGTTTTTAACAATAATTTTTATTATTTTATTTGTAATTTAATCGTTAGCCATGGTATGGAAATCCAAGGTTATTAATTAATGTAATCTTGAACCGTATGTGGTTGACATACAAGAGGATTGTGTTAAGTAATAACTTAAAGAGTTTATAGTATATGGATAAGGTTGGGTGCTTTATCCTGGTAACACTCTTAATACGACCCAATTTGTAATTGTTACAAATGATTTGATCCAAATCGTTCATGTGGAGACATGTAAGTGGGGATATCCTATACAATGAATTTGTATATATAAGACTGAACCAATAAATATTTAATCTCTCTTATAAATCCGTTAATGAGAAGATTAATATTTCACATGATGATTATATGCGACTCGATCTTAATCCTGAGTGAGTTATGAACTCGTGCCTGTGAGAACTTGTCCTTTCATTTACATGGGCCAGAATGACTCTTTTAGCCAAATCAATGTGCTTACCATTTTGGGGACTCGACCAAATAGGGAGTTGGGAACATAATCTCATGAGATGAAATTTACTCTTTCCATATAAGGAAAGTAGATGAGTTGTTCTCTTAAATACTGATTTCGAGACTTGAACAATGGGGCCCACCCTCTCATTGGCTCGAAAGGGACTTGGTTTATGATTGGATCATAAACAAATTGTTCATTAAAGAATCAGTGGTACTTTGAAAAATGTAATTATAGGGGTAAAACGGACTTTTGACCCAATTGTAATTATAAACAACTCGTGAAGGATCGACTTGCTTGTAATGGTTATATCAATGGATATAACTTGTCCTACGGGGCATAAGAGTGCAACTCTAGGTCTATAGTGGAGTAACCTATAGTTAATGAATGAAAATTTGATTAATTAAAGAGTTTAATTAATTAATTTTATATCATTGGAGTTTATAGTGCAGTAGGTCCATAAAGTTCCCTTGCTAGCTCATAGTATGCTTAAAGGTTCAATTTATTTGAAATAAAATTTGAAGTGTTTAAATTGATATTTAATATATTAGATATATTAAATATAAAAGAGAAAAGAAATTTAATTTGAAATGTTAAATTAATATTTAATATATTAGACCTATTAAATAAAGGGAGAAAATATATTTAATTTCAAGGGTTAAATTAATATTTAATATATTAGATATATTAGATATAAATAAAAAAAATATATTAATTTGAAGAGTTCAAATTAATATTTAATATATTATATATATTAAAAGAAAAAAAATATATTTATTGGTATTCGATACAATTAAATATTAAATTAATTAATATATTTTGATATATTAAATAAAAATATATTTGAAATTTGAATGAGATTCAAATTAATTAAATATATATTAAGATATCTTATAATATTTAAAAATAAGTTACATAAGGTATTATATCCTAATGTATTAAATATGTAAATATATTATTTGACAAAGATTCTCCAAGAGTCCCTGTAAATAGAATACTCGGGTTGAGCTAAAACACACCGATCTCTTCCACTTTCTCTAGAGAATGAAATTACATCTTCAGAGAATTCTCGAAACTATTATTCTCCAATTCCTTTGGGATTTTCCTTCAAAAGGCTCCTAAACTTGTTCTAGCAGAACTCTCCACCTCTCGCCGTTCTTAAAGCCTTGACTCTTCTTCAGTTTTCATCTTCATAGTAGCACAAAATTTCTTGAAGCAATCAAATCATATTTGGCATGCAAGAAATAAGTCCATGTTTTTCGACTAAATAAGGGTCATGAAATATTTCTTGTTATCATTTGATGCTGGAGAGATGGGACCACATATGTCTGAATGAATCAACTCCAAAATCGCTTTTTCTGTTCTTTCTTTTCTTGCGGATGGAAAAGTCTTGCCTTTGTGTTTGAGTCACAGCAAGGAAGAATTTGTGGAATGTTGAAGAACGTTTGCACGGTTGGAATACTCCAAGAAGTCTTCCAAACTAGGTTTCTACAAAGGTAGAGTTCTTACTCTTATATTTATTGCTATTGTTTTAATTCATAATAAAAATAAAAACGGTCCCAATGCTTCCGCTACGTGAATGAAGAGTTCATTCCCTTCAACTTTGTGCATGAAATTTTTTCTCACAATTATTTAAATTACATGATTTTAGTTCTATTAGTGACCTAGATTGGGCCTAATAATGCCCTTATCAAACATTAAGTACAGAATTCAGTATCATCGAGCTTAACTTAACGTCGAGCTTAACTTAAACCGGATAGTGCGTGAAAGAATGCTACTTAACATTAGTGTCACTTTCGTATGTGGAAGAGCCTGTTCCTCCATAAACCCACCTTGAGGTGGATAAGAGACCACAAAAGTAGACACATTAGTCTGCCACCACACGAGTCACTTCTTCTATATTTATTGTGCCTTTATAGTCTAATAAAAGCCTCACCAGCAAACCTTCCACAGTGGACCTTCACGCATGATGTCGTACTATTCTTCGTGAGATTGATTTAAGATAAGGTTGCACCTTTAATATTCAAGATTGATTACCCCATCTTGAGATTCGTGCTCCAAGACCCTCAATAAAACTCTTTTAATTGAAATTTTAAAAGAAAAAATAAAAAAATTTGCTCATTAAAATTCGGTCATTACAATTAAAAGAAAATTTAATTGATTGTTTGTAATAATTAATGTCACACAATAATGACAAATTATATCCGTAACTTAGAATTACCAAAAATATGAGTATAATTTTTGAAAATAAAAGGATTAATTATAATTTATTTTGATCATTAAATCACAAATGGAAGAGTGTAGGATGGTAGATGGGATGTAAGGTTATGAGTAATTGCGAAGCACATGCATGTGGAACCCTCCAAAGACTATTCTTAACAGCCGACAAAGTGGATATTTTGTTAAGTGGTTGAAATGTTAGGAAGAAAAAAGGATTACGCAATCTAACACCTTCAAATTCAGTATAAGAATAAGAAGAAGAAGAAATCTCATTCGAAGTTATTGGAAACATTGCAATGGCGGAATCAATTCTATACAATATTGCGGCACCCTTGTAACCAAATTGGGCTCTCCTGCACTCGCTGAGTTTCAATTGCTTTGGGGCCTCGAGGATGAGCTTACCAAACTCAAACATACCATTGAAGCCATGGAAGCTGCGCTTCTTGATGCAGAGGAGCAACAGTTCAAGAACCATGAAAAGAAGAATTGGATTTCAAGGGTCAAGGATGTTTTCTACGATGCCGATGACTTGATTGACGAGTTTGCTTATGAAACCTTGAGGCGGCAAGTTATAGCCGAAAGTAGAAGAGGGGTGAAAGAGGTACGCGAAGTTTTGTCTATGCCTCATCATATTGCATTTCGTTTTAAAATGAGTCACAGAATTAAAGATATTAGAGAAAAACTGAATGCTATTGATGTCGATAAAACACAATTTCATTGCTCGAAGAGTGTTAGAGATACTCGAATTGATGAGCTGAGGGAGACTCGAGAGACTTACTCTATTATACATGATGATGAAGTGGTTGGTAGGGAGGACGACAAAAAAGCAATTATGGATCTTCTGTTAGATACAAATATTGAAGCCAAGGAGAATATTGCAACGATTGCCATAGTTGGAATGGGAGGATTGGGAAAGACCGCACTTGCACAATCTGTCTACAATGATGAGAACACAACAAAACATTTTATGTTGAAATTATGGGTGTGTATTTCGGAACAGTTTGATGTGAATGTTATTGTTCAAAAGATTATAGAGTCTGCAACAGGAAAGAAGCCTGAGATCCTTCAAATAGAGTTTTTACAAAGTGAACTTCGAAAGCATATTGATGGGAAAAAGTACTTGCTCATCATGGATGATGTGTGGAATGAAAATTACGAGAAATGGGTTAAGCTTAAAACATTGTTAAAGGATGGTGCAAAAGGTAGTAGAATATTGATCACAACACGTCATCAGCGAGTTGCAGAGACTTTTGATACAATTTTATCTTATGTTTTAGGGCAATTGGACTATCAAAGCGCTTGGCTATTGTTTAAAAAAGTGGCTTTCAGAGATGAGAAACCAGAAAAAGAACTTGCAAATTCAGATATAGTCAAAATTGGAAAGGAGATTGTGGCAAAGTTAAAAGGCCTTCCTCTTGCAATAAGAATCATAGGAAGTCTTTTGTATGCTAAAAAACCAGAACATCATCTTTGGTTGGCTTTCAAGGATAAAGAGTTTTCTCGAGTTTTGGAGCAAAGAGAAGAGGCACAATTCATGCTATCAATATTGGAGCTCAGTTATAATCATCTTCCATCGAGTTTGAAGCAATGTTTTACATATTGTTCTTTATTCCCCAAAGATTATATCTTTCAAAAGGATGATATGATAAAGCAATGGGTGGCGCAAAGTTTCGTTCAATCAATTGGAACAATTGAGCCAAATGATATTGGAGAAGATTATTTCATGGAATTATTATCAAGATCATTCTTTCAAGATGTCACAAGAAATGAGATGGGTGACATAGTAGAGTGTAAGATGCATGATTTGATGCATGATCTTGCTTGTTCAATAATGAAAAATGAATGTGTTTCTATGGAAGTGAATGATAGGGTGGTCATTGAAAGAACCAGACATATCTCAATTTACCGTAAATTCGGTATAAAATTGGAGTCCTTGAAATTATTGTTTGAGGCAAAAAATTTGAGGACATTAATTATTGATGCTCAAGGATGGCAAAAAAGTCCTTAAACTAATATTTACCAAGTTTTTGCAATTAAGAACGCTGAGGTTGAATTTGAGCATTGATTTGACTGTTCAAGTATTGCCTAAATCTATTGGCAAGTTGAAACATTTAAGATATTTGGAAATATGTCAAATTGGACTTCGTTTCCTTCCGAACTCTATGAATGAATTGTATAATTTGGAAACACTTATTCTTGATGGGTGTATATTATTAGAAAAGTTGCCGAGAGATGCAAAAAATTGGAGGAAGCTTAGGTATCTAAGCCTTGCTAGTTTGAATATAGAATTCCTTCCAAATTCGATAGATGAATGGAATAATTTGGAAACACTCGTCCTCAAAAAAATGTTTAATGTTAAAAGAATTGCCAAAAGATATTAAAAAATGTGTCAAGCTTAAGCATCTTGATTTAAGTGGTTGCAAATCTTTGACTCATTCACCCAAAGGACTAGGTGAGCTTACTGGTCTGATGTTGGGTGTGATTTAAGTGAGTTGAATAGACTGAGCAAGTTGAGGGGATCATTAACCATTAAAGGTTTGGAATTTTGTACAATTGATGATCTAGAAAAGCATCATTTTAACTTGCAACAGAAGTCGGATATTCGAAAGTTGAAGTTTGTTTGGAATTATTCCAAAGATGAGACTATGAATATTTTCGTAAATAATGACTACAAAGGAGTGTTAGAATGTTTACAACCACATTTAAACGTTCAAAAGGTACATATATGTGGATATCAAGAAGTCAAGCTATGTGATTGGTTATCCTCTAATGTCCTTGTTTACTTGATCGACATAAAGCTTTCAGATTGCGTCAAATTAGAATCTCTCCCACGATTCGATCAATTTCCACTTCTCAAGCGTTTGGGCCTTCAATTATTACCTTGCATTGAGTACATTGACAACAATAATTATCCTTATTCGTCCACGTTTCTACCATCCCTTGAAAAATTAAGCATTGTAAACATGCCCAATTTAAAAGGTTGGTGGAAAGGTGAAATTTCAGCAGAATCTTCTCCAAATAGTGCCTCCTTTCATACAAAAGTGCCTTGCCTTTGTCAACTTACAATCGATAATTGTCCTAAATTGGCTTCAATTCCTTGGCATGCACCTCTAAAGAAACTCCAAATAAGTATGGTTAGTCTACAACTACTTGATACAGTAATTGAAATGACGGTAAGTCATTGTGTTGAAGAGTCTTCTTCTACTCAGTCTAAAGTATCTTCTTTTGAACTTAGTAGAATGGATGATCTTGAGTTTATGCCAAAAGAGTTATTCTATTATTTCAAAAATCTTGAGCAACTTACGCCGAGAGATTTCAAAAGCTTACAAATGTCTTCTTCTCTCGTACAACATCGTACTCATGAATTACTATGGAAAGAGTTTCAAAGTCTTCGCTTTTTACATCTTTATAATATACCCAAGTTGGAGTATTTGCCCAATGGGATACAACATGTGACAACTCTTCAAACCATTCGGATAGAATGGTGTCTAAATTTAAAAACTCTACCCGAATGGATGGGCAGCCTTACTTCACTCTCAGAACTATCGATTATCTTATGTCCAATGCTCACTTCATTGCCAGAAGGGATTCACCACCTCCCCTCTTTAAAATCATTGAAAATTTGGAACTGCTCTAAATTGGGAAAGAGGTACGAGGAAGGAAGAGGAGAAGATTGGCAAAAAATTTCTCATATTCCTCGTGTAAACATTTTATATCTTTGGCATTGAAGAGAAGAAAAACTTATTCATCCATCAACCATAGGCATTATCAGGTACGTAAAGTCATTTTGCGTTAATTATCTTTATATTTCCTAAAAACTAATTATGTAATCATTTCAATCAATTTCCTTGACTTGAATCTTTATGAACCATTATTACAGCACATCTTACTGCATTCTCTCGAACCTCATATGCAAGACATCAAGAATTATATTGGGGGAGGATTACAATTATATTGCTCTAAAATTATTCGTCCTTCAAAATCCGCACTTAAATTGAGAATAATCTTCATGCAACAAAAGAAAATGAGAATATCAGTTTGATGTGTTGCTTCCAATCATTCAGGTACGAATCCTTTTGCTGTTAGTGCCCCCATTCAAAGTTGTTGATTATTATTATTTGTGCTCATTGATTTGTAATTTTAATTCATCGTTGTTCAATCAATTGGGTAATGTCGTGTTGGTTTCTTTGGTAGCATTACCAAATTGATTCTATATATGGTAGATGTCTATCATGAAATACTTTTATAAATTCATATGATTGATAATTCTTAGTTAATACGAGAGATCTATATAACTTATAGGTCTTAATCACTAATAATTTCATTATTGATAAGCATCAGTCAAGGATATGTTTATTGTTGGTACGCTTATGACATTGAGATATGTTTGATTGATTATTTATATATTTTACTTTTCACCTGCTTCAATGTTGTTGGGCTTAAGATTGTTTATATTCATGAATAATTTTAGCTCATGTTTGATAGTTTGTATTACATTATTATACATGCAAGCATGTAATTTTGTTAACATCAATTAAGATTCAATGTTTTATTAACATTTCGAGTTTTCCATCGATATACAAATAATAAGTCAAGATTCATTTGAGGCAAAAATATGAGTACATCATTTTTAGTAGTAATATGTTGAGAATATTAAGAATATATTAGACATTGATCAATATTCATTCTAGATAGATGCACGAGTGTATCATTTTATTTATATTTTGAATATTTCAACGGTATATCACATATGGATAAACATGTAATTAAGTTAAACAAATAGTAGTATATCATATGCATATTAAACATTAATTAGCATTTATTTGAGACATATTAAACATTAATTAGCATTTATTTGAGACAAACACAAAAGTATATCATTTTAGCAGTATTTTGAATATGGCTAGTGAAGGGGGGATTGATTGAATAATTGATGGGAAGATTGAATAATGAAGAGCAAGAATGCTCTATATATATAGACAAAGAATAGAAAAAGATATTTAGAAAATCTACCTAAAAAATCTGCCGAAAATCTGGGAACAAACCCGTACTCAAATAAAAAACTAAATCAAATCAAAATTAAATAAAATCAAAACTAAATCTAACTAGATTTAATTAGATACTCATTGACAGCAATCTAAACAAATACGTGATCTTTAACACTCCTCCTTGTTTAGATGCTGTGAACTCCAAGCTTTTTTCCGAACACCCATCTTGCTCCAATTATCTTTTTATTTAGAGGTCGATCAACCAACTCTCAGATTTTGTTTTTCTCGATTACCGAAAGCTCCTTCTCTAATAGGTGCATCCTCAACCAAAGCATCTTGTTGTTCATCTTCAGACTCTTTTAGTCGTTCATCTTCAGACTATTTTAACATGCTACCAAAATGAACATCTTGGCTCACAATAACACGACTAGTGTGTGGTTGAAAAACTCTGTAAGCTGTGGATATAATGCTATACCCAACAAAGATGTCAACTTCTGACTTTTTGTCAAGCTTATCATGCTTGACCTGTGAAATGTAAGTGAAACAAAGAGTCCCAAATACTCTAAGAAGCTTTAAAGAAGGTTTGTAACCATACTAAACTTCAAATGGTGTCAGGTTCTTCATAACTTTTGTTGAAATTCGATTTTGCAAGCGCATAATAGTGTTTGCTGCTTTTCCCCAAAAACGTTTTGGAAGATCCTTCTTATGAAGCATGCATCTCATCATCTCTATTATGAATCTATTCCTCCTGACCATTCTGTTGAGGAGTGTATGGTGTTGTCAATTGATGTTCAATTTCAACCTTTTCACAAAACCTATTAAAAGTTTCTGAAGTGTACTCCTTGCCATTATCTGATCTTATAGTCTGAATCAAGCATGAACCTTTATTCTCAACTTTGGCTTTGAATTTCCAAAATACACCCGCAACTTCTGACTTTTGCTTCAGCAAGAATATCCAACACATTCTTGTTAGTTCATTAATAAAAGCAATGTAATAAAGATTACCATTTAATAATGGTGTTCGCTGAGGACCACAAAGATCAGTAACTAGTTACAGCTTTTTCGAGCCTCTCCATGCCTGTTTAGGAAAGGGTTGCCTATATTGCTTCCCAAAATTACAAGCACGGTAAGGAGGCATGTCCTCATCAATGTCAGTGAGTTCTTCTACCAGCTTCTTTGATTGGATCTGAAGCAAACCTCGATGATGAAAGTGTCTAAGACTTTTGTGCCAAATCTCAGTGGCACTAACTCTGGATATAAATGCCGTCGGATTTAGAGTAAAACTTTTTCCTTCCATTTTGACATTGAACAAGTCTTTGCCACTAGCATCTTTGATCAAGCACGGCTTATTCTCAAACAACACTTCATAACTTGTTATAGCTACTGTGCCTTTTCCCTTGACTTCCAAGTGTTCACCATTGCCAATCCTCACTCTCTTATCTTCGATGTCTCTTAATTCCTCAAAAGACTCCTTGTCATATGTCATGTGATTTGTGCACCCACTGTCAATCAACCAACTCTCGCTTGATTCTTTGCCTGAGGAAGAAGTGACCATTGTTGACTCTGGCAATTCGGAAGACAGTGTCGACGAAAAATTGGCCGAAGGTTTCTTCGAAGGAAAAATTAGCGGAAGTAAAAGGAGAGAGAGTGAGAGATTCGCTGATAATGCTGAAGACTCGATGTTTTTATTTTACTTCAGTTGAACGGTTTAAATAACAAATCTAATTACAAAAATAGAAAAACCAATTATACAAAAATAGAAGAAGTGGACGAAGACTTCGCCCAAATTGCCAAAACAATGGCTCCTAGAATCACGCTTCTCCATTCGCGTGAATTAAGATGTAACTAAATAAGGCATGGCTTTTATTTAACAATCTCCTCCTAAAAGCTGTACTTTATTATTTGAACTCCGATCTTTGAGCGTAGTTCTTCGAATTTCACCCGCGCCAGGGACTTGGTGAAAATGTCTCCAAGTTGTTTCTCTGTTAGGATGAAATCAATCTTGATGAGCCCTCGATCTGCACATTCTCGAATGTAGTGGAATCTGATTTCTATGTGCTTGCTCCGGTCGTGCAAAACAGAATTTTTGATCAGGGAGATCATAGCTTTGTTGTCTACGTATAACATTGGTGGATCGCTTTCTCTCCCAATGAGTTCTTCCATTAGTCGTGCAAGCCAGATCCCTTGTGTTGCTGCCATCGAAGCGGCGATGTATTCTGCTTCGCAGGAAGACAAAGCAACCACCTTCTGTTTTGTTGATTGCCAGCAGATCGCGCCGCCTGAGAGAAAGTAGATCATTCCACTGGTGCTCTTACGATCATCAACGTCACCGGCCATGTCACTATCACTGTAGCCGACCAGCTTGAGTTTCTCCTTTCCGCTCCCTGCACAATATCTCACACCCCAGCCTCTAGTTCCGGCTACATAGCGCAGGATGCGCTTGACAGCCACTAGATGCTCCTCCCTAGGTGCTTCCATAAACCTGCTCACATAGCCAACAGAATAAGCAAGATCAGGACGAGAGTTTACCAGATAGCGCAGACTCCCGACAATGTTGCGGTAATTGGTGGAGTCGACTGTCGTCGTAGTGCCGGCCTTCCTTAGTTGAAGTCGGGCCTCCATTGGCGTCCTGGTAGGATTACTGTCCACAAGCCCAGTTGTGTCCAGCAGCTTCCTCGCGTATGCACTTTGGCAGATGGAAATGCCGGAAGAGTTCTGTTGCACTTCGATGCCAAGGTAGTAGCTGAGCACACCGAGATCGCTCATCTCGAAGTTTTTCGACATCTCCTTCTTGAACCTTCCGAGGACTCCCACGTCGCCTCCAGTGATTATGAGGTCGTCGACGTACACTCCCACGATCAGTCGCTTTTTGCCGTGGCCGTACGTGTACATGCCATGCTCAGAGGCACAACGTTTGAAATTCAGTGACAGTAGGGTACTGTCGAGCTTCGCGTTTCAGGCTCGTGGGGCTTGTCGAAGCCCGTAGAGTGCTTTGTGCAGGCGCAGTACCTTATTAGGGTTGTCGTTATCCAGGAAGCCAGGTGGTTGTCGAACATAGACGGTCTCCTTCAACTCTCCGTTAAGGAAAGCAGACTTTACGTCCATATGGTGAACCTCCCAAGAGTGATGTGCTGCAATTGCCAGCAAGAAACGAACGGATTCTAACCTTGCTACTAGCGCAAATACCTCTTCGAAGTCCACTCCTTGCTTCTAGACGTAGCCCTTCGCCACCAGACGAGCCTTGTGCTTCACAACTTCTCCTTTTTCGTTGCGCTTCAGTTTGAAGACCCATTTGAGCCCTATGGCTCGGTGTCCCGGTGGCATATCCTCCAGACTCCACGTCTG